GGCTTGTAAATAAAATAAGCTAACAAAATACATCAAAAATTTAGATTGCACTCTTTCTGGCCATTGCTGAAAACATCCAGAAAAACAAAACAACAACAATAAAAGAACAACAACTTAGAAAAATTCTGTGTAGATCCACCATAAGTTAGTTTTTGGTGCCGGTTGCTAAAACAGAATTCATGAAAACCTCAAAATCTCTGTTAGATAGTCACAAAYCCCTCCATCAARCTAGAATGGACCACTCTGGGTGCTGGAAGTGGGACGGGGTGTGAAGCTCCTGGTYTGGATTTAAAGAGACAGCACCAGAGTTGATTTGAGACACACCTCAGAAAAGAGGTGAAAGCGGGGCTTGTGGAGTTACAATAAGAAGGAATCGAGACCAAAGCACTGYTTCTTCTCTTTATATWGACCCCAACTGAATGATTTAAATAGGAAAAAGAAGGATTTAAAAGCAGGATGTGTCTTCTTTAAATAATCAAAGACARTAAAGAACAGAGAACAAAGCTGCAATAACAATTATTGCACACATTCTTAATACATTTTCATCTGAGAGTTTAAAGCTTTTCACCTCTTAAAAACCTCTGACTATTTAGGGATTTTAGAAATCCTTAAATAAAGTTTATAACATTTGCGAATTAAACACTAAGTTTTCTCCTACAGTGTGTTCATGAGSATTTTAATAAACATCAGTTTAAGAATGGCTCAGAAAACAACCAAACAATGAAAACGCATAATTTACAAGGATGTGAAATTCTCTTCGAGCCTAACATCAGGTGAAAATAACGGTGTAAGCTGAAAGGAATATCCTCACATAACCTTGCATTTTTAGAGACAATTTTAAGAAAGAAGCTCATTTTATGACTCGGTTTCTTTGTCTCGTTTTACTTTAATTGAGTGACCTTTTCATCCTACCCCCCCACTTAAGAACAACTTTTTCTTTTCTTTTTTTTCTTTTCTTTTTTGCATGACCTCTTGAGAAATGATGCCATCAATTAAGTATACAGACATATTTTTTTGTCCGCAGCAGCACGACTTAGCTGTAAAATATTCGGACAGCGGGGGAGTGCAGCATCGACAGGTTTGTGCTTTGGGTAACATTAAGAATCAGAGCGTCGGACCAGGTGTGAGGCAACAACCATAGAATTAATTCTGACAAGYTCAGTTTTGCACAGCTAATCAATAGTCTATTGAACAATGACTATACAAGCCTCTTTCTTTTGCTGACAGGACTCAGAACATATCTGATAAAATCATAGGCACTTCTGAATCCCTAAAAAAATCTATTGGAAGCTATTGGAGCAAAATATGTTTGGTCAACTTTAAGGCCCTGTCACTGCAAAAAATGTCCACCTAACCAAGTTTCAAAATCTTATATCAGCCAAAAAGTCTTTTTGATCTTGTTTTGAGACTGATTTACTAAACAAGAACTGATTGTGTAAGAATAATAATCTTGTTTTCAGAATGTGTAAGATTATTTGTCTTGTTAGTCTGAAAATTTGACTCAAATTAAGTCAAAATCTCTGCCAGTGCAGTAAGAATTTTTTACTTGGTAAGATTCTTGACATACTTGATTTGACTCAATTTTTTCTCATTTCAAGAATCTTACCAAGTAAATTTTTTTTACTCCACTGGCAGAAATTTTGACTTAATTTGAGTCAAAATTTCAGGCTAACAAGATAAATTAAAACCCATGCAAATATGCAAATATGCCTTCTGACAGTCATCACCACATTTATAATTTAATCTACTGAAAAAAAAAACCACTTTGGAAATGAAAACAGGCAGATTAGGACCAGGGACAGAGACACTGAAGAGTTCTAATCAGATAAAAAAAACAAAAACAAACGTACAATAACTGGAACAACGAATGATGGCATGACTGCTTCCATTTATCCATTCTCTCTACTTAATTTTTCCTGAGCAGCATATGTTGTTTTTCTGGACAGCATATGTTCTTACTGCATTTGTGGAATATACAGTAGCCACAAATTTATAACCCTTCTGCTACTCATCACCCTGACACTAATTGTTAGTTATWATTTTCACATCTTTCATTTATTACTCTCTGCAGGTTTATTCGTAATCATAATGAGATTTAATGTAATGCAACCAATTATGTTTTTTTTCCTACTGAGATTCAAATGATCCTGAATAAATGATTGAAATAAAACGATTCAATTTAACAATGTGGTCAAYAATGGAAGTATTTCTCATTTTGCTTGAATCTGCAACAGGCTGTGAGCTYAATAATAGAGACAAATTAAGACCAGTGGTCTGGGCTTCAGGTTTAACACATTTTAATGTCTCTCATGAGGTTAAGTAAGACATGAAGGGAAGTGCAAATTGAATTGTCACAATAAAGAGTCTAAAATAAGCCMAAACTAGCTCTTATATCAAAAGATTCTCCTTATTATTTTTAATTTATGGTGTTTTTGTTTGTCTACAAAAGCTTTTGCTGTCTATTACAATGGGCTTCACAGYGAAATCGTTGAAATTGTTTGGTTTCAGTGAAGACAAACAGATAAGAAACTAGACATAACAACYGGGACTGTCTGGGAGGAATTATCTATATTTCTGACAAAGCATAAATGCATCCAGCTTGTCTGAGCTTTGAACAAAAACTAATTGTTTTTCATAAAAAAACATTCAAAGATCCATTTACAACCAAACAAACATGAACAAATTAAAGAAAAATGATCAAAGAAAAATGATAAAAACTTCAGAACTGTGTCCATTTGATCCTTGTCTTATCTTGACTGAGTYTCCAGTGAAACTGCAGCTCTTGGCTTGATTGAAATTATTATTTTTTTCTCACTTGCCTTTCATGTCTGCACCCATGAGGAAACTTCTGAAGTTAATCAGAACCCACCTGCTTTATTAAAAATAACCTCCTTTTGCTGTCATTTGCTCGTCTTCACGCATGGAAGAATTGAGGCAGTTGGCAAAGGGACAAAGATGACAGATTTTTACATCATTCAATGAAAAACGCCAACACTTTTATCAGCTGTATTAAACATTTAGACCACGTGGGAGAGGATTTTAAAGAGACGGTTCGGTGTCAAAATCTGCTTTTGAATTCATTACTTTTATCAGTGTCTTCTGTCTTGTTTGTGATTTATTTTTTTCAGCCTTTTTGCTTCTATCTGTGTCGGATACATTTATTCATATTAATTCTGCCAAGACCTCAGAACTCAGCAACACAGTCCTTTTTAAGAATCTGTAGGATACTGCATACATTCAAAGCTTCCTTTGGAGTTGTTCCCTGCTTTCATTTGAGCTGCTGCATAAAATACAAGAATATTAAAAAAATCNACTGCATACATTCAAAGCTTCCTTTGGAGTTGTTCCCTGCTTTCATTTGAGCTGCTGCATAAAATACAAGAATATTAAAAAAATCTTTTCTAATTACAATTTAAACTTCGTGTTTCTGCTTTAGTCTGCCACTGACAAAAATCTAAATTATGATTATGTTTATTAATCTTTACCGAAATGAGTGACCTTCTAGCTGAGAGTAAAAGAGAGCTATCAGACCTAAAGTAGAAAAATAAGAGTTTTCCCTTGTAGTAAACRACATATAAAATAATCAATTATAACACATTTGGGAGTCTACAAACAATTCTCAGTGTTGCTTGTTGCCTAATTTTAAACAAGTTCAAAAACGTGTCACAAATTTTCCTCTGACAGTCAAAGCTACTGAGATTATCTGTCCGCCCGTCAATCTGAGACACAGGAAGTCAAGCGGTTGTTCATCCGTCGCAAGGTTGTCAGTTTGATCTCCACGTGTGAAGTGGGCAAGTTAKTGAACCACATATTACTCTTCAGGGTTATTTGCTTTGAAGTCTACCAGATGAATACATTTAAATAACATTTCCATGTTTTCACTGTTACAAAATTGGGATGCCACTCACTTTCTGCACCACCAGATGCTGCACCTCCCACCAAGAATCTCTGTCACTCACAATGATGACTTTATATTTTTTCTTGGCAGCGAAAAGGGCATATAACACTTAGCGTATAATAAAGTAGATCAGTATAAATTCTTGATCGTCCATATGAGACCCCAAAAACAGCATTTTAAATTATGTGAAAAGTTTATATCGTTCAAATAAATTGGAAAAATGTTCTGGCTGCAGATCATTGACATGTTTGATTTGGAAGCTAACGCATGAAATATGAACACGAACCTTAGAAAAGRGGCGTACAAGCCAGCATCTCAACTATATCTTGGGTCAGGGTTGGATTGCMTTTCTGTTAGGCTTTTTCCAGCATCCAGGATGGTACTGAGGCACAGTCAGTTTGTAGGAAAGCAGGTCAGAGTGTAGCCTGAAAATGAAGCTGCAGCTCTGGTTGGAACATGTGCGRTGACACTGCCATGCACGATGATCACATCGAGATACACTGACTCTGTTATCAGCGACAGTACACAGAGAGGTGCTGGCGCCACGCCAGGACCATCAGAGCCTACACCAGCTGGGCAAATCAGAAGCTTTGGATGACATCAGAGATAAGAAAAAGGTTTCAAGTCATGAAGCAATCAGTTCTGCAAGAACTAGTCTCCATCAAGACACTGGCATGCTCAGAAAAATATCAAGAACAAACTGTGATTTCAAAGACACCAGGGAGAGGATTCAGGCTACAAGTGGTGATGGATGCCTCACAGACAGGTCCAATTAATTTTAATGACAGGCTGTGAATACAAGGATGAAATTCAAACTGGATGTGTACTYGGCTCCTTGCTCTTCACACTGTTACCTCGTGACTGTGCTGTTAAATTTATCCAACATCAGCTCATTAAATATGCAGATTATACAACAAGAATAAGAACTTATTAGCAAACATCTTATCGAGCAGTAGTGGAACAGTTGGTGAGCTCGTGTTGCGACAGTAGCATAAAAAATAACGAATTGCATGATTTTTTATGCTGGTGGCTGAATACAAGAAACACAATAATCGGTGTTTTGTGATCGATAACAAAAAAGTATTTATTTTCTATTTGCAATATCCTTTTTAAAGTAGAAATTCAATCTGTTTTCTTCTGCATTCAAACATTCTGCAGAGCTTGRGTGAAGCTCAGTGGATTTTTTTCCTGATTGCTCATTTTATCCATTCTCTGTACATCAAAAAGAACATTTCAGAAAAAAATTTAAGATGGAAAATCAGCGGTTTTCTAAGACTACAAATACAGATATTCAGTTAAAGATAAGCGTTTATGTCCAGCTGGGTCTCTCAAATGTCAAAACAGCTTGAAGCAGCAAAACTTGATGATAAATTTAAAATGATCCATAAAAGAAAAATGTGGAGTTCCTCGCACCAGTTTTTAACTTGTGACACACTAAAGCAATGCAGTGCAAAATTTTTTTGATTTCTAGACCTCTAAAATGGCACAACAGTACATCTAAGTGTCATGTTATGTCTCAAATTGAATATAGAAAAAAAATAATAATAATTGTACTAATTAAGTCAGGCCAGAATGCTGCTGGAGGCCATCAGTTTAAACAAAAACAAAGAAGAAATCTTGAGTACAAAGTTTAAGTGGAAGCTAAACCTAATTTGAAAAGCATTTTAATGTAAAAAACAAATTCTCGTTATTTAAAATGTTTGTTATTCCCCGACCTGCTTTCTTGCAAACACATTAACAATAAAGCTGTGGTTTTTCTTTCTTTTTATTTTTTTTTTCAGGTGGAAAGCATCAGTCTTGAAGAAACGCGGACAGATTTGTTGTCAAACTCAAAAGGAAGATTGTTGAAAGAAGAAACGATGCCAGAAAGACGAGGTTTATTCTCTTTGTGCGAGTTGCACATAAAAGAGCCCGGTGAGCACATCGGTCCTCCCGGACAAAAGGCAGCGACGTCTTTCAGTGCTACAGAGAAGAATATGGAAACGTTTGAAGCTTGTATCTGAAGCGAAAAGTTCTTTCATGATTTCCGTAAACAGTAACCTAGTGAGACACAGACCATCACAGCTGAAAATGAATAATTTGTTGATTCTATGACAATAAAAATRAAAAAAGGACTTAACCAGAACAAATTAAAGGGTTGCTCATATTTGAACCCCTTATTATGTGAGTCTTTTAATTTATTGTGTTATTTGTTAATTAAAATTCTGAAAATTTAAATTATTTTTAATCAGTTTTTCATTTCCGAATGTGATGGACAAAGATGGTCTTCTGTCTGACTTTCTTCTGCTTTCTTTTGACGTGTTAAAACCCAACAGGCATTAATTGGCTTTAATAGAAATCTGACGGCTATTTTAAGCTGCCAAACTGAGCCTGGAATRGAAATCTGGCTCTGACAGCTGAACGGTGCCACAATGTTTCCTAAAAAGAGAAATCCGAGTATAAATAAATAAAAGTCATGAGAAAGCACCAGGGGTTAATTCAGAYATGATGCTGACATGTTCAGTTGCCAACAGATTAATGAAAAGCAGAGCATGCCTCAAAGGGGCTTAGACTGAGAATAGAAAACACATTTAATTTAAAAAAAAAAAAGCTTACAGAGCTGCAAAAGTTACCTTAAACTTTGATCCAGACACTTGGAAGTCAGATCAGCGTCTGAATATTTGAMAAGTGAAAGAACTGAACTGCACAAATAAGCAAATTTCCATTTCATCAGCTGACATAGGTTTCACAATTTGTTTTTTAAATAAAAAAATATCAAAAGGAAAAACTAAATAAGGGGTCTCATCACTGKTGGCGCCTTCAGCACTAGGTTAGTTCGCAGTTCAAGTGTGAAGCGGTCGGGATGAGAGTCAKTTCCTTTGAATTATGAGGCCWYGGTTCTCGACTGGAAAGAATGAGATCCTGGATACGTGTGGCTGAAAGGAGCTTCCTTGGTACAGTGGTTCAGCCTTAGAGATAGGGTGAGGATTTCTATCATCCAGGGGGATGATAGGGGGAGTAGAGCTGCTCCTCCACGTCGAAAGGAGTCATTTGAGGTGGTTCAGGCATCTGATTAGGACACCTTTAGAGGTGTTACGTCCCACTGGTAGGAGGCCCTGGGGACAATCTAGGACTCACTGGAGGGATTATGTAACCTCTCTGGCTCAGTAATGCCTCAAGATCCTCAGGATGAGCTGGAAAGTGTCTCTGGGCAGAGGAATGTTTGGGTTTCTTTCCTGGACCTGTTGCCTTTGCAACCTGACTATGGATAAGTGGCCAAAGATGGATGGATGGATGGATGGACAGCTACAGTAAATATAAAACTTATTTTACTCATCTTTAGCTTCGTTGTTGGTCCCCCCTTTTTTTCTTTGTGATTCTTACTGAACAGTTTCAGACTGATAAAACAATAAAAAGTACTTTCTACACAAACATTTTCTCTACTTTTCATTAATCTCTAATTTAAAGTCCGTCCAACATGCTCCACTGTGACTGTGCTTTTAATTAACAATCCATGCCTCTCGGAGCTGCAGACAATATGCAAAGTGCTTCATTAAGAAAAACAAAATTCTAGGTAGACGTCAGAAGGTTGAAGGRTCGGGCAGTGGATGGGGATGAAGATGGAAAAGTAAAAGGAGGCACGTCTGACTTTGTAACAAATAATACAAATCAGAACACTGACTTAGTGATACTTTTTTAAAGTTCTGTGTCCCCAATTAAACTTTAACATCAGTTTTTTCCCCTGTGGTTTTCTGTTGACACCGTACTTGAAAAATGCAGCCTGAATAACTTRTTAAAACACTTTGCTGAAATTTGCTGAAGAAGTTAAGCTAAAAAAAGAAAACCTATAGCTAAAAKTAGCTAAACTGTAACAGCTTTCCTATAATTGTCACAATAAAAGTTTTGTACTGTTATCACACATAATTGACCTAACAACACTTTTTTTTACAGCTGTATCCTGTAGCTGTGTCGTAATATTTGTTTTTGCTGATATTATGTTGACATGACATTTATTAATASCAAAATTAAATTACCTCCCAGACGTTTATTCTGAAATAACTCTTAGAGGTTTGCAGATGGGAAAATAAACACTAGAGCTAATTTGGCATGCTATTATTTCCAGTCTGCTTTTCAATTAAGATTAATGTTCAGAGAATTAATTTCAGCTTTAACGGACATTTGACCACAGGTRATACTGCTGTTAGAAATGATTCCTGCTCTCATGTTTTCAAACCTCAGTCAAGAGGAGTGTGGAACTGAGCTTCCAGTACAAGGAAGATAAGGACCCTCTACTCCTAAACAAGTCATCATGAAAGTATTCAAATCCACCGGCAGGAGCCAAACAGCTGAAGATGACACAAAGAGTAGATAAAAAAATTGACTTTGCTCATKAAAATTTCTGTCTTTAGAAAGATAAGTTCACAAAAATAGGTAGGAATCAGTCAAGGCACATTTTAACGTTTCACGTCATCAGATGTCTCTATGGATATTTTTAATCAGTTAATACATTGAGTGAGCTCAAGAATCAAATCTTTTTTCAGAGCTTTTAAAAGTCAAACAGCTATTTTCAGGCTTCGTGTCGGAACCTATTCTGCTAAATTTAATTTAAAGGTTTGTGGGTCTCTGCCCACACCTGATGCTGGGGTCCTGACTGCRTGCAGTGACTCATAAACTAAAATGTTGTTTGGTACAACAAACATTTGAATGTTTTTTTTACTTTTAATTTGAAAGGGATTGATGCTATTTACTTCACATGTTCTATTTTTTGTGTATTTTTTGACATAAAATAAAAGTTTTTTTCCCTGTTTGAAAAAGGGAAAATGAATGAAAACCAGCCACCAGAGCCTGTCATACCTGCTTTAAATAGCATATTTTGCTGACATTTGGACTCCTCAGCTGCAGTCTTTTGATAAAGATGAGCCAAATAACAGCTTTAACCTCTGAATGTAATTATCTCCGTGAGCTTCTGTCAGCAAAAGAGAAATAAAAAAGGAACCTGGCAGCTTTTGCTAATGTTATTGATAGCACAAGACTGGTGACCACAGTCCTGAAAATTAACAACAAATATATATATATATA